AAAGTCTCATCAGTCACGAGGTAACTTGAGGTAGATGAAATAGCAGTGGCTGACTAACCAACTTATGTAGCAATAGCTCAGTCATAGAAATTAGCATTTGTCACTCTTCTGCTACATCCCTTTTACCACTCCATGCCTGAAAGAAATTAGACTATGTATAAGACAAACCCAGCAGTAAGTTGGTGATAAGGTTAATGCATATTTAAAATGTATTCAAAGACACTTTTCTTGTCCTTTTCAAGTCACCAGTTTTTACTCCCATTGGAAAGATCGCCGCAGTTTAACTGAAATGTGTAGGACTATACTGTACTATTTTAATAGTTTGCAATTTTATTGTACAATTTTAAAGTTTTGGCTTACAGACATTCGTCTTAGGTTAACCAACTTATTTTGGAAAGAAAACTAAAGCCCCAATTCCAATCTAGTCTAAAGTAGGCTTACAAGGGTGGCATCCTTTCCAATCGATAGATGCTTGACCTAACAGTGAAGCAATGGAGGTCCACACTTAGCTCTATTTGAACTGAGTTCACAGTTTCTTCTCCTGAGTTGTATTTTCAGATAATCTAGCTTTCAAATAAGTGTGACCCGTTTATATGAAAATCAGTATTTATACTTGAAGCAGAGAAAATAGTACAGATTGTCTTAATTTGCTGATTTTTTTCTCTGCTTAGCATTTGTCTTTGTAGTTTAGACTATGAATGACTATAAATTTATCACACCCCCATATACATTTTAATAACCAAATGCATACACATATTCAATTTTAATTTAGTTGGTTAAACTACACTTATGTTCAACCCCAAAGCATTCTTTAGAGGTAGTTATAGTATATAAATGGGAGCGTTGGTGGTTCCATGGTAGAATTCTCCCCATCCATGCTAGAGACCTGGGTTGGATTCCCAGCCAATGCATCTCATGTGTAGCCACCACTCCTCTGTCACTGGAGGCTTGTGTGTTGCTATGATGCCGAACAGGTTTCAATGGAGCTTCTAGACTAAGATGAACTAGGAAGAAATGTCTGGTAATTTACTTCTGAATATCAGTCAATGAAAACCGTATGGATTATAATGGTCTGATCTACAACCTAGCACGTGGATGGTGCAGGACCTGGCAGTGTTCTATTCCATTGTGTGTGGAGTCTCCATGAGTCAGGAGTGACTCAACAGCAGCTAACAACACCACATTGTATAAAGGGGGAGGGGGAAATTTGGGAGCCAAATGAACTTCTATTTGAATCCCAGCTCAGAGATATACTTTCTATGTGAACTGGGTCTAGAAATCATGAGATAAAGTTTGTAAAAACTTCTGATATTCAAAAGAACCTCCGTAAATCTTAGAACTACCCTACCAGTTTCCCCTCCATTATCCTTCGTACTGTCAATGGGAATATGGCCTAGAGGAAGTAATGGGTTATGATAGTTTGGACATTGGTTCTAACAGTCATGCTTTGCAGTCAGAGATCTGAGTCTTGTTTCTGCCAACCTATTGGCGTCAAGGCTCTTGAGAAAATTACTTTAAATTTGCTAAATTTCAGTTTCTTCTTTAAAATGTTTTTTGTGAGAATTACGTGAGATATTCCATGTCACAAATTAACATAGTTGTATGACATATAATAATTGTTCAATGTATCTTGATAGTGATAATGATATTATAAAAATGAAGACAAAGTAAGTAATCTGTGTCTCCTCCTCTCTTCTCTTCTGTTCCACCACTCCCTTTCTTCCTCTGGCCCCGTAGAGAGGAGAATAAAGGCAAGAGTAGATTATAGGGTCAATATGAGAGAGTGGAAAACTTTGCAAGAGCAGTTAAATCAATCTTTACAATCCAGAGCTGGGAGTAAGAGATGCCCCTTAAACACTAGCTTAAAAGACACTCTGGGAACTTTGCCCTTTGAGAATCTCCTGAGCAGCAACCAAATAGAAGAAAACCAGAGTGTGTGGCAGAGGGACTTTGAGAAGTATTACTAGAAGTTTAAGAATTAGCCTTCCTTTGACATTCATGAGATAAAGACTAAAATTAATCAGTTTTTAAATTTATTTTGTACTTTTAAACTATTCTTTGTATCCTGCATGGAACAGAATTTCTTAGAATTATATTGTGCCATAATTTTTTCTTGTAATCTAATTTTTTAAATCTTTCTTTTTCTATTTACTCCAATATTTTACTTAATTTTTTCAATTATCTTTCTCTGGTCATTGTTGAGCATCTACTTAATTTCATACCTAAATTTTACATAATCCTTTATAGATATTGTCGCACTTGGTCAGAGTTTCACATTCCACTTAGAAAATGGAGAAAAGAAAGAAAAATAAATAGGAAAAAGAAAAAGAAACAAAAATACAAAATTATGCTCATTACTACCTCTCAGAAATAATCATTGTTATCATTTTAGCATAGTTCCTTCTCTTTGATTTTTTTTTCCCATATAATATGCAGTATGGTGGCGAAGAATATAAACTTTTATCAGAGAGGCTGTTTGCATCTGGGTTCTCCACTTCCTAGCTGTGTGATTTTTCGTACATAGTTAACTTTTCTCCACCTTTCCTCATTGGTAAAATGGGAACAATAGCAATGTTTTCCTTAGCGTTATTGTGAGGATTAAATATGTTAAATATCACATACTAGGTACTCCTAAGGATATTTTTAATGGTTTATGTTGGAAATGCAATTCTGTATAATAGGTTTTTACACTTAACATTATATCACATGTAATTCACTATCTAGTTGAGTATTTTTGATTATATAGAAATTTTTAATGGTTATATAGAAAACCATCACACAAACTTTATTCAAGTGTTTCCTTATTTGGGTATTCAGTAGGTT